GTGACCAACCCCCGGGGGGGGTATTTCTCTCTTTCTGTCTCTGGTGAACACATGTGTGCCCTATAGCAAAACCCTCTCCAAAAAAAAAAAAAAAAAAAATGTGATCTCTTCAACCCAGAGGAAGAGACATATGAGCTCATGAAGCAGTTCAAGGCAGACCAGAAAACTACAGCCAGCTTTTGCCCCAACATCAGAGTCTTTCCTAACTCCAGAACTGCCTGTTTTGTGTTGCCTTGAAAATGAAGCTTATTCTCACAAGCTGGTGTTCTAAAATCTCTTGCAGAGCTCTAATTAAAACATCCAAAACAACAATAACAAACAAGAAATGAAACAAAACAAACAAAAACCCTGCTGTTTCAAGGGAACTTCTCTGCTGAAGGCTAATGAAGAAGGCTGCCTGTTAGTACATCTGAACACGAGAGGCTCCACAAGATACAGCGAGCACAAGGCAAATGCTGTACAGGCAACAAATGCCCCAGAACCTCAGGGGCCCTAGGGACACACCAAGGTCATCTGTGAAATCCTTTCAAGGATTTCAAGGAAGGAAAGCTTCTAGGGTGATATGTAAGGAAAGGAAGTTTCGGGCCATAAACACACCAAATATGGTGCTGGTTCTGAAGGAGCATGTGGTCAGCCCAAGGCTGGTCTCCCAAGGCATTCATATGAGGAGGTTCCCACTCAGAAGGGCTGGGTAGGGCCAGGGGAACTTATCCATAGGCATTCACTGGGGTCTCAACTAATATGAAATCAAAGCAAATACACTGTCTATCCTCAGTTCAGAAATGAAGACAGTAAAGACTCAAAAAAAAAAAAAAATGCCCAGTGGAAGTTCAGGATGGCTAGCAAGTATTCACTCAGCCTTCTCTCTTAAGTCTTTGAAAAAGTTTATCTCCATTCAAGGTAATAGATAATCTTACATTAAGGAATGTGTCAGGAACCAAAAGTGTTTCTAGGAAACTAATTTAGGACTCAAAATTAAGAGGGTGGAGCCCTAATGCTCTCAAATGAGTTTTTAGCATTCGTGCACTACATGCACATGAGAGAAAATTACACCACTGCTCAGCTCAGATGGACCCAGTGATGCCTCCTGCCTAGGCCAGGCTTAACCTCCTGCCCACGACCCAGCTATTCCCAGTTACTCTAACCGTTCTTTCATTTGGTTTCCACATACATTTTCTTCCCTAAAAGAATAGCTTCCTGCTTTAAGCAAAGGACCTACAATAGGTGGTGGGATTATGGGGTGGGGATATGGATATAAATATATAAACACGAATATGTATTTTTCAGGATGTGGCTTAGGAACTGGGAATAATGTTTTCTGTTACTCTTGATGGTGTCATGAAAAGATTATGCAATAAAGAATTTAAAAAAAAAAATTCTACCACTGCTCAAGAGAAAGAAGCAGACTTGTATGTACTGACATGGAAGGAGGTCTGGGATAAACGCAAAAAGCAAGCAGAAAGCCAGGTGGTGGCACAGTGGTAGTGGAACTGGACTCACATGGGAAAAGTCCTAAGTTCATGTCCTGGGACCTCCTTGGACACACCCACGATCTGGGCCAGCTGAGGCTCGTGGTGGATTGCGGCATGAGGACCCTGATAGAAGTATCTGTCCCTGACTCTCTTTCTCATGGAAGAAATAAATAAGCTTTCTTGAAAAGGCAAGCTGAAGAGCCATGTAGAGAATAATATACCATTTTTATAAAACAAACCACCATACATAAATGAGTACATATTAGATCATCAGGGAAATCATGACGTGTTTTTCTGGGCAAAAAAGTGTCATGACTTTCCCGACGACCCAGCAGCAATATTTCTCCCCACAGGACATTGTTAAGGTCAGAAATAACATACATAACCACTAACATTTGTCTCCCTAGGGTGAGGGATTAGAAAAGAGGGGAGAGGGTTGGCAGGTGGTGTGGTGGTTAAGGTGCTGGACTCCCACATGGCAGACCATGGTTCAAGTCTCGGACATGATCGCTTGCTCGCTCACTTTCCTCTCTCTCTCTCTCTCTCCCCCCTTCTCTCATCAAATTAGAAAAACTTTTATAACAAATTAAATAAATTAATTTAAAAAAAAAAAAAAGAAAAGAAAAGAAAGGAGAGAATTTTCCCTTCTACTTCAGGCATGTCGAGAGTGTGTGCGTTTTCATACGACCACCAAGCATTACTGTCTTGGTTTTCTAAAATTCAAGCAAGATGCTATTAAAGGTAACAACGGACTATTCCCAAATAAATGACTCTGCATTATCCTTTGACTCAGAGCTCCAACACCCAACAGTCAATGAGGCTGTTTCTAATTGAACTCATCTTCAGAAGCAGGAGAACAAGGACACGACTGAAAGCTGGGAAAGCAACTGAATGAACAAGAGGTGTCAAGGACTGCACAGGCGAAAACCACGTCCGGTCCTACAACTGTGACGTCTGAGTATCAGAGCGCTAATAGTTCCGGAGAGACGGCTGTGTGGACTCACCAGATAAAGGTTATTTTTGTCCTGAAAGGCATACTGTAATTGGGGGATCCAAGGGCTTGTGCTCCGAGAGAGTATGTTCCGTTCTTCCTCAAAAAATGAAACCTATGGGGAAAAATGAAACCCTTCAGACAACAATAACATACAGAACTAAAGGGGGTGGGGGAGGGGCGCTCTTTCATCTGTCTTTAAGCCTAAATTAATCGTTCTAGTTTAAATATTTCTAGCTTCACCACTTACCTTGGCATTCCACAAATCTCATTCATGTACTTTAGCTCCCAATTTTGGCAGATCTACACATTAACTGTCCAATTATTTATTTAGCATTGTTATGTAACATCAACTCTTTGCCCTTTTCTTTTTGGGGAGGAGGGTTTTTGTTTTTTGTTTTTTTTGCTATAGGGCATGTGCGCTCACCAGAAAGATAGAGAAAGAGATAGAAGTTGAGATAGAGTTGAGGCCAGAAGATGGTATAGCGGTTACATCTCTGGACTCCCACATGTTCGACTGTAGTTCAAGTCCTGGACTCGGTGGCTTGAAACTCATGCTGGGTGCATGTGTCTGCATACTCAAGATCCTGGGAGAAGACCAGAGGAGAAGGGATTGTGGTGTGGCCATCTCCCCTGGGGGTGATTTCTCACTTTCTCTCTCACTGTCTCTCTCTCTCTCCAGTGAGCTCAGGCACCCTAAGGCAAAAACCTCTACCCACCCCCTTCAAAAAAAAAGGCAAAGGGGGACCAGCAGTTAGCATAATGGCCATCCCCCCTGGGGGGGGGTAATTTCTTGTTTTCTGTCTGTCTCTCCCTGTTTTTCTGGTGAGCACACGCGCCCTATAGCAAAAACCTCTCCTCCAAAAAAGAACAAGAAAGTACTCAAAGAATAATAAGGATATGTCAAGTGGGTACAAAAGCCCACCTGAAGAGGTTCTCGTTGACTAATCTGGAGACGATTTGAGTATAAAAATAATGACAGTATTGGGAACCAGCAGTTAGCGTAATGGCTATGTCGCTGGACTCCCACGTAGTCGACCGCGGTTCGTGTCCTGGACCCGGTGGCTTAAAACTCACGCCGGGCGCGTGTGCGTGCGTGCCCAGGATCCCGAGAGGAGAATGGAGGAGAAGGGATTGCGGCGTGACCATCCCCCCTGGGGGGTGATTTCTCGCTTTCTGTCTCTATGTCTCTCTCTGTCTGTCTGGCGAGCGCACGCGCCCTAC